GCAGAGCAACTTGAGGTTTGAAAGTGTATGATGTAAAACCTGTTTGCCCATCTTGAAAATAATGAAAAGGATCGCTGGTACGGACGTCGCGGACGGCGAGGTTTACCCCACGTTTGACGTGAATCCTCAGCAGACCCAGTATCTCCTCCAACGCAGCCATTTGGTCAACCGTATAAATGTCGGATGATTTCAGAAACAAATTTATGTTTTATTAATAAACCCAGATTAAATATGGAACCACCAGAATTGCGTTGATCGAGAGAGAGAGAGAGAGAGAGGCCTCCTTTTGTTATTATTTTTATTATGCAAAAATGGGAGGGGTGAGGGCTTGAGCAAGGAGAATGTGGAGGGTTAATAATGGACATGGGTGACCGATAGAACCGGGAAATACGGTTATAATTGGAGGGAATTGGTCTTTTTTTAATCAGGTTTTATTTGTTAAGGCGTACTGACTCCTTTAATTCATGTTTACACGTGGTATTAAATTACTTGTTATTACCGGACATCTCAATTTCAGTTTGGAATGTTTGTTCTTCTTACTTTTATATATTTAAAGGGTAAACATATTTACTCATCCAATTATTTCTGTAATTTTATTTTTCATTCAATTATTTTTTCTTCAAAATGTTATATAACGTTATATTTTGATTTTATTTTTATCATCCGTCATTAAAAATTTAAATGATGATGTTGACGTATAATCATAAGACAATATCATGTCATCATCGAAAAAAATAAAAAAAAATTGTCATGTCAACAGTTCTGTTAAATTTTTAACGACATTGGATCAAAACAAAACCAAAACATAATGTTATATATGATTTTAAAAAAATAGTTCATGTGATCAACCATGACTAAATCAGCCATCTCACAGCTATATATTTACTTTGTCAGTTTACAGTTAGTCATCATGACTAGAGATGGGCATGAGACTCAAATTTGACGGGTTTCGACCTGATCGGGTCAGAGTTTTTAAAAAAAATCAAAACAGGTCGGGTCGTATTTTTTAGAGGTTATGTTCGGGTTGAGTTCGAGTTTAGGGTGAATTATAATTTTACCTTATATATCTAGGAATAATTGAAATAATACCCCCTCTTTATTTTATTTTCCCTTATTTTTATTGAATAAAAGTATTTTTTTAATAAATATATTATTTTAGGTCGGGTTTAGCTTTTATCTTAAAAAGGTGAGTCGGGTTTGAGTCGAGTGGAAGGTGTATATTTTTCAGGTCGGGAAGATGGTGTATATTTTTCAGGTCGGGAAGATGGTGTATAATTTTTGGGTCAGTTCGGATCGAGTAGACCGAAAACCCAACCCAACCAGACCCATGTCCATCCCTAATCATTACTCTAGGTCTGACATCAACACTAAGTGCTAGTATATAAACCATAGAGTATAATCAGAGAAGGGGTTGAACTCTACTCTCTTCTCATCGTCTTCCGCTTGTCATTCCTCATATGATCACTAAATGTGGTTTTCTGTCCAAATTAAAAGAATAAATTCCTACAATCGTTATAATTTAGATATTACCATCAATAAGACACGAGAATAATAAGATTACAACTCTAATTATAAAATATTTTATAAACTAAACATCTCTCTATATATATTTATAAAAGAAGGAACATATGATTTAATCGGAGAAATACATATATATGTAGATATGGATTTATAGATATCAAGTAATCCACAAGCTGCATGCAAAAATGGGGGAAATCTAGGAGAAAGTGGTCCTCTATGTCCACATCTTATCCCTTTTATCCTTTTTCCATATATCCATCAAGTAATGAAGTTTACCCTCAATACTCCATCAACCCTATCTCCGAAATAAACTCAATAGCGACTGCACTAGCTCTCTACGTATGCGGACACCAATGTCCACATGCTCAATACTCTACACCAATACCAGATATTTTATCTAGTAATTCAGATTGGACCGAACTTAGGATAGATTGTGAGTTACTCTAGTCTCATTCAATTTAAGTATGGTCAACACTCGAATAGAATGAGCTCAAACTTGATCCGAGTTCTTAACGAGTCGAAGCGAGATAGTTGATACCCTACTCCAAAAATTCACGAGTACTTCGAAAAAAATAATATATATGATTTTTTATTTTTTAATTTAAATTATTAACAATATTAATATTTATATATTTTTTAAATATAATATAAGACTTTCATATACTTAAGATTTGGGTTCAACACGTTCAAGCTTGAATCGAGTTAAGTCTTAGAATGTTTTGGTTTTAAATTTTTTTCGATTTAAAGTCAAACTTCAATTTTTTATTTCAATTTCGAGTCGAGCGTTATAATTTTAAGCTCATGAGCTTTTGAGTCAAGTCAAACTAAATTTTGAATAGTCTAGAGTGATTACAATATAATACACGTTCATAATTCACTTAGTCTCTTCGTAATGTGCGCACACACTTTACAGATGTAGTTGCTCGAACTTAAAACCTCTAAAAAGAATCTTACTCTTTCACCACTGAGTTCACTCAATGAGTTTTAATTATTATTAAATTTTAGGGTAAAGTACACAAATGGTCTCCCGATTATAGGGTACTACTTTGTTAAGTTCATTGATTATTAAAAGTTACACAATGGTCCTCCGACTATAGAGTGTTGTTTCGTTGAGTCCCTTGACTATTAAAAGTTACAAAATGGTCACCAGACTATTCATATGTTCCAAACTCGTCTTTTTTTGTTAAACATTTGACGATATTTTGAGCTAAACGTTGATCTACTGACTATAATATGATAAAATTTGATCCTATAATCTCAAACGTTTATCACATCCCAGTCATTATGTTAACATCCAACTTAGACAACTATCAATTTTTAACGAAAAAGGGCGAGTTTGAAATATAATGAATAATTGGGTGACCATTTTGTAACTTTTAATAGTCGAGAGAGTTAATAAAACAACATTATATAGTCATAGGATAATTTTGTAATCTTTAATAGTTGAGAGACTTAATAAAGTAGTATCATATAGTCGATGAACTATTTGTGTACTTTACCCTAATTTTTAATTAATAAATTTAAAACAACTTGTAATGGAAGAAAAACACCAACAATCCCGGATGGAGAATGCATTTAAGATTTAGAAAAGAGCAATTAAGAGGAAGAAGAAATCCGACCTAACCCAAAAATTCTACATCCTTCACCCGACCCGATTTTTGAGATAAAATTCGAACCCGATCCGACCCGACATGAAATAATATAAAATATTATTTTTATTCAATAAAAATAATGATTTAATTGAAAAAAATTAATATATATTAGGATATTATTGTAATTATTCCTAAATATATAAGGTGATATTATATTTTTTTTCCGGGTCAAGTATTTTTCACACTAAACCTGAATCCGACCCGAACCCAAACCTGATTTTTTTTAAATAACCCGACTCGATCGAATCGAAATTTATCGAATTCGGATCCGATGCCCATCCCTAATTGTATGAGATTGAGAGAGGATGGTAGGGGATTGGGAAAAGCCAATTCCAATGTAGTTTGAGTGATATTTTAGGGAGTAGTTATTGTTGGAGTTATGACAGAGCAAGACAAATTAAAAGGCCATGCTTAAACCACGTAAGGCAAATACCACCTATGAAGCAACAAATAATGGACACCGAAGCAAATCTATGCATTTTTGGTCCACTTATAAGATTTTTCTTTAGACCTTTTTTTTTAATAAAAATTTAAGATTTTACAGATTGCCAACCAAGAGTAATAGTGGTGAGTTTCGAACTTGACCTTACAAGCTCAAATTCTTGAATCTTAACCACTTGTGCCAACATTGATTGGCTTTAGGCATGTTTTATGAATATCATATCCATGTTTATCCTTTTCTAATATTTTTTTTAAAAATTTAAAGTTATAGTACTGTTTTAAGTCTATTAATAATATATTTACACTTTATATAACATTTATATACTTTATACATATAGTTATTCAAACTTAAACTTTTTAATAATAAAAATAATTCTATTTACTACCAAGATTATTCAATAAATTTTCAATTTTGAATGGATATAAAATTGTACCCATCTTCTCTACTTGAGGTACAAAAACGTCCAACGTTCGTCTTTAGGCCCCCTCTCCCACATTTAATGCTTTCCCAATCCTATACTACATTTACAAATTAAAGATAGAATGTCGAAATGACGATGATGGTCATCAATTTGAAAAAAGAAAAAGGAAAACGATAGATTCTTTTAAGGAAAAAAAACCCCACATTTTTTTTAACTAAATTTACATTTATATATATTAAAATTTATATTTGTATTGAACTAAAGTTATATCTTATTATAAAAAAGTTAACGTCCTTTTTTAGCTATCACATTTGATTATTGTTTATCTTTGTTCTCTCGTATTCTTTTAGGTTATAAGATATAGACCGATTAGGAAGGAACTATCTCATTTCTTTTCTTAGAGTCTCCTCTTCTCCTCACATATGAGCAAAATTATGATTAGATTTAAAATTTATCAAAGAAATTATACTTTTTAAATATTTAAATGTATTTATATTTGAACTTCAAAAGTATATATTTAATTTTCTTTGAAATATACATATATTTATAATCAATACACTAAAAAATAAATCCATATCGTTTTCGTGAATATGTGTTACAACCTATATATATATATATATATATATATATATTAACAAAATAAATTTTCTTTTTAGAGAATTATTAGACGCAACCTAATAATTGTTAACTTTAGTAAAAGTCTTTAATTAATTATATTTATTTTAGATATCAAGATATAACTTTCTATTTAAAAAGAGAGAAGTATTATAAATAATAATAATTAATAATTAATTAAGGAATGGCATTACTGTAATAGAAGAGAAGAGGGAGCATAAAAGTGGTAAATCAAATATGGTAGCAGCTAACGTATTTATCCACACACACACACACACACAGAGCAATTTGGTTGCGTTTGGTTAGGTGTATGGGAGCCTTTCGTTGGTTTCATGGTGCAAAACCCTCCCATATTATGCCTCCCTCTCCATTGAATTGGCAATGAACAATTACTTTTCCTCCGGATTCCCTCCCCCCGCCGTCCCCGGCCTGGAAGAACCTGCTCGCTGCGACTGGGATTTTTCTCTTTCCACCGTCGTCTCCTCCACCGCCAACGCCACCGTCTCCGACACTCTAGGCGTCATCGAATTCGACCCTTCCAATACCATCTTAGCAACCGGAGGAATCGCGAGAAAGATTGGAATTTACACTTTGAAATCCTTGTTGCCACAGGAGGAGAGGCAAAGCATTGCTTTTCTGGACCATGTTAACGCCTGTAATTATTACATCTTTACCCCAGCTAAGCTCAGTAGTCTTAGATGGAAACCGGGGTCCAGTGGTCGCGTCTTGGGATCCGGAGACTACGACGGCGTCGTCACGGAATATGATCTAGAGAGGAAGGTTTCGATCTTCGAACGCGACGAGCACAGCGGGAGACGCGTTTGGAGCGTGGACTATTCCCATTCGGACCCGTTTCTCGGTGCATCCGGCTCCGACGACGGAACCATGCAAATCTGGGACCCACGTTGCAGCGAAGGAGGAGGAAGATGCGTGGCGAAGGTGCAGCCCACGGCGACGAGGAGTTCAGTCTGTTGCGTCGAATTCGACCCATTCGGAGACACATTGGTAGCCGTCGGATGCGCCGACAAGAAGGCCTACGCCTACGACGTGCGGAGAATAACGGAGCCGGTATACACATTCGACGGACATACCAAAACGGTGACGTACGTCAGGTTCCTCGATGCCGGAACAATTGTTACCGCCAGCATAGACGGTTGTTTGAAACTATGGAACGTCGATGATTCAAGGTTGATTAGAACATACAAAGGGCACGTAAACAGTCGAAGCTTTGTGGGGCTATCAGTTTGGAGACATGGTGGGTTGCTTGGATGCGGATCAGAAGATAACCAAGTTTTTGTCTATGACAAACGATGGGGTGAACCCATTTGGGTGCATGGGTTCGAGGCAATGGGCAGAGCCAGAGATAGGTTCGACCATGGGTTCGTCAGCAGTGTGTGCTGGAAACAAGTCAATGAGGACCAGTCCACACTTGTGGCTGGAGGTTCCAATGGGGTTTTACAGGTATTTTTCGGCAAGAGGAGGTCAGAAACATAATCTTCCCCTTTTTTCCGTACAAATTATGAGCATTTTTCATTGTTGTGTTTCCCATACCTTAAATTTGAGACTTTAAGTAAACTGAAACAATTGTATACGACTTTAGCATTGTTGTGTTAACTGACATTTTTAGTGTTCAGTTTTAGGGTTTTAGATTGGATGCAAGTATTGTTGTTATTATTAAATAAGCAGCCAAAAGGGTATGGAGGGCAAGGGGCAATGGGTTTGTTTGTGACTGATAAACAGCTGTTCCATATTAAAGCGCAGCTACTTGGAGCTGGCATCTTTTGCTCTGCACCATGCGTTCTCGATTCCATGTTTCAATTTCCAATCTCTTCTTGTTTGTCCCTTCATTTACTTTTAAGCCTTTTGGTTTTTGTGTTATTTTTTAGGGTAAATTATACATTTAGTACCAAAACCTAAACTATTAATTTTGATCCGTTTTAGTATTTAAACTTTTAATTTTTTTAAAACATATCTAATATTGTTTATTTTTGTTTCATTTTAGTATCAAATCATTAAAAGCTTAATGTTTTTAGTACCTAAATTTTGAATGAGAGAACTAAAATGAAACAAAAACTGAACTTTAAATATGATTTTGAAAAAAATTGAAAGTCTAGGTACTAAAACAGACCACAATTGATAGTTTATGCTTTAAACGTGTAATTTACCCCTTTTGTTAGGGTAAAGTATACAAATGATCCATGATTATAGGGTGTTGTTTTGTTGACTTCTCCAAGTGTTAGAAGTTATAAAGTTATAAAGTGATCTCTCGTCTATAGAACGTCGTTTTGTTGAGTCTTCCAACTATTAAAACTTACAAAATGGTCATCTTACTTTTCATATGTTATAAACTAATCTTTTTCCCTTAGAAATTGACGACTTTCTGAGTTGAACATTAACATATTTGATTGAGATTTGATAAAATCATATTCTAGTTATGTCTATTGGCGCCATCTTTGCTTTCAAGCACTAGCTCGACGATATAATATTTCAAGAACTGGCTCGTTGACATAATGTAAATTAAGAGTCGATCCATAAATACAACTATTATGGGATCAGATACAACCATCAATTTTTTAACAAATAATAATAAGTTTGAAATATATGAATAGTCAAATGATCATTTTGTTACTTTTAATAGTTGATGGATTTAACAAAACATCACCCTATAATCGATGGACCATTTTATAACTTCTAATAGTGAAGGCATGACTTAACAAAGCATTGCTCTATATTTAGAGACCCTTTGTTAAATAAAAACATATTGAGTTTAATTTTAAAATTTAAATTTTATTATTTTTTAAATATTATATTAATTATATTTTAATAAATATATATATATATATATATATGAAATATATTTATTTATAAATTAGTAATTGAATTTACTTCAATGGTTTTGAATAATTCAAGATTCGATTTCTTTTATAGTTACTTTTAGTTTCATTATAACACAAAATAAATAACATATATTGTAATATTTGAACAAAATATGATTGTTAGTGCAGTAGTAGCAGCACACCTTACCATCCTGGAGAAAGGTTAAACCCATCCAACAACTTTTAATTTATTTTTCTTAGGTTAGATAGTGATACAGTTTCCATCTTATCGGAGAATATTTTTATTTTAATTAAATATAAATTAAATTAAGAAAAAATCATCCAATTATGTTGTGAAATGTATCATGATACATGTTATAATTTGATTGGAATTTTAGATTTATTGAATTAATTTAAAATTAGATGCAAATTAAAAGAATGTATAAATTATGATGATTAAATATGCAATTTAACCAATTTTATTAATTGTCACCTTTAGGGACGGATGCACTAATCTCCATAGAGGGTCAAGTGTATCCTCATTATTTAGAGAAAAAAATGAAATTTAATTTAATATGTTAAGAAAATATAGATTTTTTTTGCATACCCATTTTTCTAAGAAAAGTATTAAAATTTTGGACCCTCAGTTTTCAATTTTTAGATTCATCACTGATCGCCTTAGCTACTTTATTAAATTTTAACGAAAAGTGATTTGATTGAAATCACTTAAATAACTATATGGTAATTTTACCAAATTTAAAAGTATAATGATCATATCGACATCAACTCCACAACTAAATGGTCATTTTAGTAATTTACCATAAATTTAACTATTTAGGGTCCAAAACAAACCCTCACCATAAATTTAAGTGATATTATAGCGGGCACGCAAGGCGTTTTTATCCAAAAACCATCCAAATATTATAATATTACTTATCAGACATCGTTTTTTTCAAATTTTACCGATCTAGCACTCTTTATGATAAAGCGCATTACACAAAACGCGCCTTTTTGTACCGAAGGCACTTTCCTGAAGTGCACCTTCCAGGGGAAATTAACATGGCACCACATGGGAAGGAACATTTCAAGGGACATATATTTCAGGGTCTATATCATCTCTAAAAGCATTTTAAAAAATATGCTTTAAAAAATAAAAAATAAAACTATAGGCATTAAAATTGTAATTTAATACATATTAGTTTCATGAGTTCAAGAGCTTTATCGTAACACACGAACCCGTACCCGACCCGGATACGATTCCGAGTGTCACATTGACTTTTCCCAAAATATTTGCTATTACAAAATCGTTGAAAATTTTAAACTTTCATTAATATTAAAAGTGAAATGATTTACATAAAATAATTTAAAAAGTTTACAAAACTTATCAGAGAGTATACAATTCAAACCTTTTAGTTACATGCCAACTACATTCCTTATAACAAAATACATACTATTTAAATACTTTTCTAATATGATCTTTGAAATGAGAAGTTGACCTGACTTGCCTATCATTGTTTCTCTTCTTGCTTCTTGGAACCTACGTGTGAAACACTCACACACTAAGTCGTTGAGTTAGTGAGGCATATAAAACGTATAAATAGAAACTTAATACATAACAATACCGAACATTTATATCACCCTGTCATACAAAATTATATATTATTACATCTAACAAAATACATGCATACACATATGTTATCATTATCAATATTATTATCACTAATACCATTTATCATATAATCTTGTACTTATGATTTATACAGTTCATAAAACACATTTCACCTAGAAACACACATAACAATCCCACAAGGTTTATTATGTTATGTCTTTTATTTGCCCATGGTACACTTGTGAGAACTAAAGATATATAAGTACATTGAGGTTGTGCATAAATGTTGTCACCACATCTTGTATAAATTTCCACATATATGTCCTGAAGTATCACATAAACCCTCGACTCTTGGCATGGCAACTATACCCTTAGTTCTCTTATTACATAACATGGGCTTTACCATTTATCACAATCTTATAACTCATATCACATAAGCATATAATCTCATAGCTTCTTATCACATAACTCATGTAACATTTTTGTATAGTCTCTTAACTTATACTTTGTTCTCTTATGATCACATATATCATGTAGCATATATAATCACATATCACATAGACCTATAGTCACATAATTCCTTGATACATAACTTATATCACATGTTAATGTAATCAATTATATCTTATCGTATAACTTATGTCACATTCTCCTATTGTCACATAAATCATAGCGCATAACTGTTATATTGGTCTCACCTCTTCATATAAATTATATAACATATAACTCCTCATCACATAGTTTATTCCACAGTTTCATATATGTATACAATTCAGTTTTACATGCCATAAATCACTGGTTCATATAATAGTTTATGTCAACATCATATAACCTATTTTAGGTTTTCACTTATTCATAAAATTTCATTATACCAATTTCTATAAATTATTACACAATCATGTACTCCTTTTTATATAGTCCATATATCAATGCCATATACCTTATATCCTAGTTTCACATAATCACTATATCATATTTTTTTATATACTAATTTCACTACAAGAAAATATACTTTTAATGACACACGAACGATGACACACGCTAATTTATGACTTGCAAAAAATGTGTATCATAAAAACAAATGTCATATTTTTTAAAATATAAATGATTTATAACTTACAATAATGTGTCATATGTAATAGTCATAATCCAAAAAATTTACAAAAATACAAAATACAATTTTAATTGTGTTATCTATAAAAATCTTTTAATCCCTCTTATTTTCATCATTTCCCGCTTCTTCCGCGACATACATGCCTGTCCAAATCTCTCATCTCAAAAAATAAAAAATCTCCCAAGAAAAAAACTGTCTACTGATGATGACAGTAATAATATCAGTCCAATTGCAGGAGATGCATGTCTCCTACTCCGACAACCCCTCGCCGACATCACTCCCACCGGCGGCTGTTCCGGTCCCTCTGACTTGGCCCCCCGATGGCCAGCTCAGCCTTGACTGGATCCAATACATGATATTGGCGTTCGACTGGAGTTCAAAAAATATGTCCCCCTCCTCCTTCCCCTCGGTGTTTCTAGTTCCCGTTTCGATGCCCTCGTTCTTACAGCTTCTAAGATCCTCCACAAAGAACCCAATTACCTCTGAATCGAGACCCCCGACACCGATTCAATGGTTGTGGTGGTTGGCGATCTTTATGGGTAATTGCATGATATTCTCTTCCACTTACGAGATGCTGGATTTCCTTTCGAAAATGAGATCTTTGTCTTCAATGGAGACTATATTGACAGAGGAGCTTGGGGTCTTGAGACTTTCGTGCTCCTGCTAGCCTGGAAGGTAATTCCAATTTTCAAACATTCTTACAAAGAATTCACTTTTACAACACTTATTTTACTAGTATTTATATGTATCATCTTTCATAAGCTCCTTGTAAAATGATTTTGACCCTTCAACTAGAACATTAACATAGCTTCTTAACACTCTTGATTATGGATCTCACCATAGTTTATACATTAGCAACTGGGATAAGCATATCAATTTTGATGATTGCAGTGATTTGTTTATTAAACTGAATTCTATCTACCGTTTGGGTAAGTAACTTTTGACAAGATATCACATTCTTTTAGGTTTTCATGCCACATAGAGTGTATCTCCTTCGTGGAAATCATGAATCCAAGTATTGTACCTCTACTTATGGATTTGAGAAGGAAGTTTTGGCCAAGTATGGGGATAAAGGTAAGCATGTGTATCGCAAATGTTTGGGATACTTTGAAGGACTTCATTTGGCCTCTATAATTGCTAAGCGTGTATATACTGCTCATGGGGGGCTTTTCCGCAGCATTACCGTCACCCTTCCAAAAGGATGAAAGGGAAGAAGAACCGTAGGATAAATCTTGTTCCTGAAGCCAACACCTTATGTCTTGGTTCTTTGGAGGAGTTATCTAAAGCACGAAGATCAGTCCTTGATCCTCATTAGGAAGGACATAATTTGATTCCTGGTAATGTGCTATGGTCAGATCCATCAATGAAACCTGGTATTTCCCCTAATAAGGAGAGAGGTATTGGCTTATTATGGGGCCCTGACTGCACAGAGGAGTTTTTGAAGAAGTTCAAACTAAAGATATTATTATAATTACACTTTCACGTACTTTTTCATTAAAATCATTTATGTCGTGGTTAAATTTAACTGTTGATTTGATAATTGTGTAATTAAATTATTTTGTCTTCACTCTTCACCATTAGAAGGGACATTAAGTTATCTGATATTTGGTTAGTATTTTTTAAAAGTTAGCTCTGTTATTTCTCTGTAAACATTCTATGTCCCTAGACATTTATTAAGAGAATGGTATGTTATCATTCCAGTAGAAGATGTTCTTAGGTGCTTCTCATCCTTTAACATCATGCATTCAATCTGCAACTTAGTGTTCTAGGAAACTGCTTGAATTGATAAACTGTGGTCTGTGGTTTTCTAATTGAAGGCTGTGAAATAGAGCAAAATGCAGTTCAGGTTGGACAAACGACTTTTTAAGTTCAAACCTGGGTAGTTCATGGAATTTTACCTATAAATTAGGTCTGGACCCCAATATACTAGTATATTGAAGAGGAGTTGGGTGGTTATGGTATGAGCTGGACAATTTTGAAGGACCATCTTATACAAAAATTTGGCCTAGATTTAAATCTATATATGGAACACAATGTATTGGCTAAATGGTAAATTAGATTTTCTTGTTGAGCATTTCATGTCTATGCTATATGCAAGAAGATAATGCTTATTATTAGTCTGCAGCTCGATGCGATTAGAACATGCATATTCTATTATACTGTTAGGGGAATAAGTTGTTAGGGCTTAACTGTCAAAACTTGCACTTCAGTTGCAAGTGTGGAGAAAGCTAGTAAAAGAATATTTTGATGTTGTAATCTAATTTTTACACTAATTTCCGGTTAAACATTGTCATTCTTTTTGTGCAATAAACTTGTTGTAATTAATATTTGTTTTTAATTGTTTGAGTTAAATTAATTCATGTTATAGCGTTTCATTTATTTTATTATTGCATATTATTCATTATAGCTATTAATTTTATGAGCTAGCTCTTCTTTAGAGATGTAAAATATTTAGAGTGTGGTTGTTTTTGGGTGCAATTTCCTTAGCTAATTATCAGATCACATAAAGGACCTGATGCAAGAGAAAAGAGGCATGGTCTTGTAGGAATAGATGAAGGATACACCATAGACCATGATGTGGAATCAGGAAAACTGATAACCATGTTTAGTGCTCTGGACTACCCACAATTTCAGGTATCTTTGTGATCTACAGTGGTTTACTTATCATCCCTTAAGATTTAAATGCATTTCAACAGAGTAATCAACATTAAAAATAACATATTTCTACCATTGTGTGCTTTTTAGGAGATTTGCAGATCATTAAGAACAAGTTCCTTTAACACTATATCACCTTTAGCATATGCTTATGTTTTGTTGCTTCCCCCATTCTTCAAAATTACTCGGTTATTTGCTCCTGGCTTGTCATATCTCAACTAAGCTCATCTTTTTGTTGATGGTGGTCCTAGTTGTCTAACATCGTGTTCCAGCATTTATCACAGGGTCATTGTTGTCATTATGGTATTTTATTTAAATGTGTTACCATGAATGAGTGGATTTACAATATATTAATCATGTCTTATCCATTATATCTATCTTGTCTGCCAATGAGTGAAGGATGTCCATATCCTTGAGTTAAGCTGGGCACTACCTTGTCTTTTGCAAGAGTATATGAAGAAACTGGAAGATTATTTGGCTCATCTTCTTGGTCATGGTATATAATTATGTATTATCTTAATGATTAAGTAGGAGGTTGCTCACGAAAGTATTAATAACAAAGAAAAAGATGCAGATTTCTGAGTCTTTAATCCTTTTGTAGTACACTCCTGCAATTGATATGTGGAGTATAGGATGCATATTTGTTGAGATACTTACAGGAAAAACCACTTTTTCCTGGAAAAAATGTGGTGCACCAATTGGATCTCATGATCGATATGCTTGGCACTCCTCCTCCTGAATCTATATCAAGGGTTAGTTATCTTGTTTCTTATATTTCACTTGATTTATTTTCACTTCAACTTGACGCTGATTTCAAGCTTTGTTACTGAGATTCTAATTGAGAGATTAGATACTGATCACTCACTGTTTAATTTATCATTACCTGACAGATTAGAAATGAAAAGGCAAGGAGGTACCTTAGTAGCATGCGTAAAAAGCCACCAGTTCCTTTCTGACAGAAGTTCCCTAATGTGGATCCCGGGGCTCTTCGCCTACTTGAGCGCTTACTTACATTTGATCCAAAAGATCGTCCAATGGCTGAAGAAGTAAGATTGAGAATTCCTAGTATTTAATTTTTTTCTTTCAAAATCACTAAAAAGGAAACAAGGTATGCATACAATAGATAACCCTGAAATTTACAAAAAATAGGGTTTTTTGCTAACATTTTTTATATTCAGAAAACATAAAGGATATGCTTCCTATAGAATTGAAATCTATGAATGGGTGATCTTGAATGCTACAAATTTTGATTTGATGTTTTGTCAGCATCATTTCATCAAGATATGATAATTTTTCTCATCATTGGCATTAAATCAACTACAAATGATAAATCTGACAGTTAGATCATGATTTACAAGCTTCTAATATTCCTAATGGTGTTGTTCTATGCTGGCAGGCATTAGCTGATCCATACTTTTATGGTTTAGCAAATGTGGATCGTGAACCATCCACTCAACCTATTTCGAAAGTAGAATTTGAGTTTGAGATAAGGAAATTGGCAAAAGATGATGTTAGAGAGTTGATTTATAGAGAGATACTCCACATTTGTTGCTTTGGTATTATCTGGTTTCTATTTATCATATAGCTTAACCAATTTGTGGCTTAACAGATATTAGAGTATCATCCCCAGATGCTGCAGGAGTACCTCCGCGGTGGGAATCAGACCAACTTCATATACCTTTCAAGCTCTTAACTTTTGTTGCTTAATATCCTTTAAAAATCCTCTTGTTTCTTAATATGATGTCCAAGATTGTCCTTATACAGTTTAGATACAGCTTAGTAAAGTAATACTTTTTGAGTGGTTTTGTAGATCGAATCCTCATTTCAAGTTATATAGTGCTTAAGCGAAATATAGGGGGTGAGGGTCTGGAAATTCTAAATTCCAGTTGATAACATTTTCTTCTAGCATTACAAATAACGATATTATTTTTCTTTTTTCAATCAAATAGTGGCGTTGAGTGATTCAAACGATAATTTGCACATTTGGAGGAACATTATGGTAAAGGTAAAAGAAGTACTCAATTTCTAAGACATCATGCTTTTTTGCCAAGGTATGCTTCATAAAATTTTAGGAATCATGTTAGTTCTATAATTTCTCCCCCAAACTTAGTCTGTTTAGTTCATGTGTCATATTTCAATTTGCCTGAATATCGTCTTTACAAAGAGCGAGTTTCTGCTCCCAAAGATGAGAATGATCAAGTTGATGGAGAGAATAACGTTGTTTCAATGACACAATATGGTTCAGAAAGCGCTAGTGCTTCAATGACACAATATGGTTCTGAAATACAAATTGCAGAAGCACTGGAAGCTTGGATATGGTATCTAGCTACTGTTTGATCATTACTGCACTCCATTGGATCAGATATGCAGAAGGTATGTATTGAAACTTTGGAGAATTGTATTGCACTTAGTAGTTCTCTAACTTATCAAAGTTCTGCAGAATCTTAACTAGTTAACAGACTTAATAGTATACAATGAATCTTCCAAGTTGTGTTCTTTTTGCTAGGTAGACAAGGTGTGAATTTGTCTGTTATCGACTTAACACCACATAAGATGTACAAGTATGGAGCAAATGGTGAAACTGATGATATATTGGAATACCATGATACTTTTGATTTTTCACAAGACTTCCCTTTAGTAGAACTTGATGATGATTTCTTGTGTACACGCCCGGATGGCGAGGACATATTAGTAGAACTTTATTATGCCGTGATATTTTGTATCGACATATGATTACAATATTTTTGATAACTTAATGTGAATATATTGTATGCAAATGGATTGCTTATATATAATATGATATATATATATTTAGTATTATGAGGCATTAAATGTGATTTAGTTTGATTATTTGTCAATCTACAATATATATATATATATATAATTTACGAAATACAATCATGACACACGAACGTGTGTCATCTTTTTTAATGATGTGTGCTTCAATGACACGCAATGTAAGTCATACATGTGTGTCATAAATTTATGACACACAAATGTGTGCCATCTTCATTTATAATAGGGGCTTCAATAACGCTCAATGTGTGTCATAAATGCTAGTCATAAATGCTCGTCATAGATTTATAACACACAATTGCGCGTCATCTGATATTTATCGGTGGCTTCAATGACACGAATTTGTGTGTCATCTGCACCCATAGATGACGCGCAATGCACGTCATTAAAGGGGTTTTTTCTAGTAGTGTTTCTTATATTTTCTTAGTTCAGTTTCACATAGCTTGTCACATAGACATATATTCTCATAACTTATTATCACCTAGTTCCTATAAAATTCTCATATGATTTCCTGGATCTTTGTACTATACCTCATATCACATAGGAATCTAACAAGTTTTAGATCATAGTTTCATAAACATATAGACCTCCCTATATAGCTTATCTGACATATTCATATACTCATTTATGTCAATATCTCCTAACTTATATTCTATTATCATATTATCATATAGGTCAACCCTACCTAGTTTATCTCACTTTTCATTTATTCATCTAAATCTAATTCATATAATTTATACATTGTTATCATATAATTACCTGTTGAACTATGTTTCGATATAACAAATTTAAGGAAAAATGTTTTTGGACTTTAATTAAATTTATTCAAAGTTTTCAAAAGGTTTCAAAAATAATTCAAATTCCATTAAATTCAGATTTGAGCAAAAATGCAAATGGGTACAAATACCCCTATGAATGAATATCAATACCCCTTATGAATGGGTATAAATACCCTGGGTACCGATACCCATATGATTGGGTATCAATACCCTTATGAAGACTCAAACATCGAATGCAAAAAGCGTACCGATACCCCTATGGGTATCAATACCTAGGGTATTGATACCTATGCATGGGTATCAATACCCCCTAGCTCCAACGGTTAGTAACGGCTAGTTTAATTTGAATTTAACAAAGGTAGTATCGATACCCTTTGAAGGGGTACCGATACCCCCTGTTATGGATAACCTTGTTTTACAGAAAAATCATCCCCAAACGACTCCAAAACATCCCCAACGGCTATACACGACTTCAAACTCATTTCAAACTATAAATACAAGCTGATGACACTTGAATAATCAAGAGAACAAATATCCAATCATTCAAACACAAGAGAAGAAGTTTTTTTTATTTTCATTCTCTCTTGTAAGTATTATTCTAGTGAGATTAATTCTTGTAAACACCTATCTTTGAGAGGTTTATTTGTTTACTTCTTTTATCATTTTGTAAAGGGGAAAGGTTCTAGTTGATCCCGTGAAAAGCTAGGGAAATGTTCTAGTTTAGCTCGTGAAAAACTAGAGAGTTGTAAAGGTTATCTTTTTGTCCTTGAAAAGAAAGAACAAATTAGTGAATTCCTTGGTGAGAGCTAAGGTAGTGGATGTAGACTTGGTTGAGAAGTCGAACCACTATAAATTACTTTGCAATTTTCTATCTTTCAATCTCCTTACTCCCTAAACACAAAAATCGTTATGACCCCTCTTTGCAAATTATTTCGGTTATTGATTCGAGCTTCCGCAAATCCCAACAATTTATATCAGATCTTAACTCGTTAGAAGACTTAACATCCTTGAGATGATCCTAGAAGATGCTCTATCAATTCCCGACGCAACCGACAAATAAATGGCTTCAACCTCCGGTGCCTATTACATTGAAGATTCACCTATTATGGATTCACAACCAGTCAAGAAGACGTCTTTCTTCAATGGAGCAAATTATGCACATTAGACGAATAAGATAATGTTCTTTATTCGAGCCTACAATCTAGGAGCTTGGAACTCAATCATGAATGGTTACTCCACTCGACGAGTTAGATGATTGAGATGATTGGAGTAATGAAGAGAAGAAAAAGTACCAGCTAAATGCAACAGCTATGCACATTCTCTTTTGTGCTTTAGGCCCAAATGAATATGGAAGAATTTCATCTTGTTCAAGTGCCAAAGAGATTTGGGATAAGCTCCAAGTCACTCATGAAGGAACCAACAAAGTGAGGGAATCAAAGAAAAGTCTTCTCAACCATAGCTGCGAAAATTTCAATATGAAACCCGATGAAGACATCAAAGCTATGTCGGATAGATTTTTCGTGAATGTCAACAGTCTTAAGGGATTTGGAGAAGTAATCCCTAATGAGAAGCTTGTGAGGAAGATTATCTACTCTGTTCCAAATTCATGGCAATCGAAGAAGACGACTATTATCGAAGCTAGAGATTTAAAGTCTCTTACTCTCGACGAGCTAATTGGTTCTCTTCTCACTCATGAGATGATGTTGAATGAAGAGGAAGAAAATGAAGAAAAACAAGAAAAAGAAAGAGGTAGGCATTGTCTTCAAGTCCACCAACGAGAGCTATCAAGATTCAAGTAAAGAGGTGGATGAAGACGATGATGAAGAAAAAGAGATGGCCAAGCTCTTTAAAGAACTCACGAGATTCATGTATTTCAAAGAAGTGAAGCATGAATCAACCAAGAAGAAGAGTCCCCCAGTGTGCTTCAATTGTCAAAGAAATGGGCATGTCAAATATGATTGTCTCATTCTAAAGAAGAAGGGATTAAGCAAGAAAAAGACATATGTGGCAACTTGGAGTGATGAAGATGACTCCAATGATGAAGATGAAGTAGCAGCCTATGTCTCATGGCCATCGAAGAAGATTATGAGGTATCTTCTAACTCAAATGAATTAATTTGTCATTCTTTTAATGAGTTACAAGATGCATATTAGGTTGTATTTGGGATTTGAGACCATGAATTCCAAATATACGAAATTAATTTCAAAACTCAAAATTAAAGATTAATTGATTTTGAAAGTAAAAGTCGTTTTTGAAAATCAAAATTAAATTTTGAAAAATGATTTAGAGCTTTCAAAAATTAAAATAAATGATTTAGAAAAAGAAAATTTTGATTTAAAAGTTAAGCTTGAAAGCTTAACAAAAGAAAAAGAATTAATTTCTAAAAACGACATATTATGTTTAAAAATGGCAAAATGCTCACATTGTCATTTTCATGGTCACAAAAAACATACTTGTCCTTTGAAGAAAGAAAAACGTTTTAAAATTAGAAAAGTATGAGTTCCGAAAGGAACAAGAGACATTGAAACTAATGTTCAAGGATTCAAAGCAATTTGGATACCAAAATCTACTTAAATGTCTCTTGTAGGTGTGTGGGAGCAATGGTGATGAAATTGATGATATTAAAGATGCTCTAGCCACACATGAAAAAGAAATGAGTAACCTCTAAGCTTAATGCTTTTAATTTTGGTTATTTGGTTGCTCATTTGATTTTAATCATGCATGAGTTTTTTGTTTTAAATGATTATGCATTAATGTTTTAATCTCGTGTATATTAAAAAGGTTTTATGATGAACATTTTAAAGTTTTAATGATTTTTCAGAATTTTTAGTTCATCATAATAAAATTTTGGTCAATATTGGTTTTAATGAAAATGATATCTCTCTAAACAATTGATATCAACTTTTCAAATACTTTGATTTTAAATGCAAATGATATCTCTCTAACAATTGATATCAAAATTTTAAATTTTTTTGACCGAAATTTAAATGTTTATGCATGTACTTAAAATTGTATAAGATATCTCTCTAACAATTGATATCAATTTTTTTAATGCATAACATTTTTAAAAAGCTTTATGCATATGCACTTAATTTCAACAATTGATATTACATAGAGTATTTTAGACTTGGATATATTGAATTTCATGTGCTACTAACATGTTTGTTATTATTTGTTGAAATTCAATTTTGCTTAAGTGTCAAGCTAAATTTTGTTTGAAATGCATTAATTGAGAGGGAACTTTTGATTTTTCGAATAAATTTTTAAATGTCAAATTTATCACTTACTCTCCAATGTTATTTTAGAACTTCAAAGATTGAATTATTTTTTATATAACAAAAAGGGGGAGAAGTAAGGGTTGAAAAATTCAATTTTTTAATGAAAAAGGGGAGCGTAATATTTTCATATATTTTTCAACAATTGGTTTCTTTTTGACAATTGGTATCCTTTTGTAAACAATTGATATATTTTTCATTAAACATTTTATTAAGGGGAGTTTTGCGTAAAACGATTTTTCAAAGGTTTTGTTATATCAAAAAGGGGGAGATTGTTGAACTATGTTTCGATATAATAAATTTAAGGCAAAATGTTTTTGGACTTGAATTGAATTTATTCAAATTTTTCAAAAATAATTCAAAGTCCATTAGATTCAGATTTGAGCAAAAATGCAAATGGGTACCGATACCCCTATGAATAGGTATCAATACCCCTTATGAATGGGTAACGATACCCCTATGACTGGGTATCAATACTCCTATGAAGGCTCAAACATCGAATACAAAAAGGGTACCGATACCCCTATAGGTATCAATACGTTGGGTACCGATACCCCTTTATGGGTATCAATACCCCCTAGCTCCAACGGCTAGCAACAGCTAGTTTAATTTGAATTTAACAAAGGTAGTATCGATACCCCTTGAAGGGGTACCGATACCCCCTGTTATGGATAGCCTTGTTTTGCAGAAAAATCATCCTCAAACGGCTCCAAAACATCCCCAATGGCTATATACGACTTCAAACTCATTTCAAGCTATAAATACAAGCTGATGATACTTGAAAAAGCAAGAGAACAACTATCCAAGCATTCAAACAAAAGAGAAGAAGTTTTTC